TATATATATATATATATATATATATATATATATATACTTACAGAAAATATCAGTTAAGTTATAACTTCATTTTAATACTACCCAAAAATATCATGAAGAAAATGAAGCTGCACCGTTTTCTGTCATGTAAAGTATCACACATAAGGTCCCGCCCATACTGAACACCCATTGGCTGAGGAGTGGTCAACCTTCCTCCCATTGGCTCTGTCCCCTATCCGTTTTACTGCTGTCCTCAGAATACCGCTTTGGCAAAAAGGCATGAACACTTGTAAAGATAAGGAGAATACATCACTGGGAGACACACGGAAGGAGCCGAGGTCGCACTCTGTTATGGTAGGAGACAACATCATCAATTTTACTACAGGAGGGACTTTTACAACTATATGAAAAGGCGTGGAAGTTTACCGAGGTTACAAAACAATAGAATAGGACCGGTTGCGGCAAAATTCCGCTTTTTGAACTAATTCATGAATACAAAAGGGAGTGGCTTTAATGTAACTTTCTTGGGTTCTCATTTTGCTTTCGTGTTAATAGACAAGACATAAAATGCGCACTACCAGTAATCTTAAGGTGCGCCTCCTCACCTAATGCAGGTGTTTGTCCCTATTGCAGTTTTTTGTTGAGATATATGATTTAGTTCATCATATTTTTACCGTTTTTAGATAAGAGCTGGAGAATTTTGGTTATTTTTATATTCGTCAGGAGATGCCCTTTGATATAGGTGCGATAACTGGATGCGAATCTAGAGATGATGAAAGCAATTACAGGCTGAGGTTCTTTGTCCGCTGGGAGAGCCGCAGAGAAGAGGCACAGTTAATACAGACAGACCACTACAGCGCCTTAGCAGAGGTATTCATTCATTTCATGTCAAATTACAGAAATATACTTCAATTTTAAAAATTTCACTGAAAAACTAATACCAAGTAGCATATAATTTTGAAATAGTTAGAAAATAATTTTTTGTATACAGCTAAGAATGTATCCCGTCGTTTTATTCACCCCCATTCTGCTCTACCAGTTAGAAAAATCCATACCCAAAATAAATCTCAGTTAGATTGAAAGGGGAACTTACAGACAAGAACAAGTCTAGTCACGGTTCTCAATAGTGGACTTTGACTAGACCAATTTCGTAACTATCGGTAAGCAGAGACTGCAGTTGCTTAGGAGCCCCTGACCCCTTAGGGGCACCATCACTAACACCTGGTTGGACCCCTGCACAATTGTGGACTAGTACGTTTCTTTGCAGATGTAAAGGTGCGAAAAATTCCCCTTAAACCCACCTGATACTAAAATGACTGACTGGTCCTTATTTATACACCAACACATGTCAGATTTCAATATGATGGTGAGCCGTTTAAACATGACACCAATAGCAAAGCAGACAGTACAGTACTTTTAATGACTATGTTATAACTGTGTATAGTTCATTAGACGGTTGGTCATATATGTTTTGAACCGCAATTAAAATCTTAAAGGAAGGATGTATCTTATTTTTTACAATACGACTTGGAATTATGGGTAACACTTCTGACACTTGCATATGATGAACCAAGTGGTACCACCACCAAGCGTTGCTCATAAGAAATACTGGCATCAACAATTTTTAAGCCAGTTACAAGGCCAGTTAACTTATTTGTGCTCCCTGGTTATAACATCTCATAACCGAGAAGCACATATACCCAATATGATTAGGTGTTTCATTAAAATTCACCTTTGCAGCAAATACAAACCAACTAGATGAGAACTGCCATGGAGAAGATTTATGAAACTCACACTTAAGACTGAAGCAGAGCAAATGGTAGAGGATGCTTATTTAGTTCAGCTTCCTTTATTGACACCTCTAGGTAGATCTGTTTTGCTGTGAAAGGAGTAGACAACTACTCTATCAGACATAAAACAGACACTGGATATTATTTACATGATAAAAACAACAGGATAGTTATTCTCTATTATCTTCACAACATGCTATAACAGTATTCTGTTATATATTTACCAAAAATGCTATAAAAAAACACGAGTAGAAACGCTTTATGAGATTTCTGTTACAAATAATAATAATCAGAGAAAAACAAGTAAGGCATTATGTAGATATATTCTATTGTTTTATTTAGATTAACAATACCAACTGGATAACAAAGCTCTTTGTCCTGTTTTGTGCTCCGCTTAGAGATGTAAAACTCCTATTTAATGGGAAAAGTGGCGTAAGTCTTCATCTGAAACAGTTTGCTATACAGGTTTCCTTTTTTTCTTGCGTTTCTAAACTATAAATTATAGTACCAAGATATCAGCAGGAAAAAAGGTGAAACAGTTTATATAAAATTGAATTTTAAAATTGTCCTGTAAATATCAAAGAAGGGAAGCTCCTATATTAAAAAAATAGAGTGATGGCATTTTTGACAGCTCTCTTGAAATGAACAGGTCCACTTAATGTACTTGTACACTCACTGAGGTTGTTGCACTGTGTGTAAAAGATGTAATGATATCAATCAGAAGTGTTTATCATGATTGCTTTTGCTTTGATTTAGGCATTTGACAGCCAAATTTAAAGCGTATGTTTGTCTCAATGAGAAAATACAACTAATAAACTTCAGTTATTCTTTGAGGTGGTCTGTTTTCCTGCTGGCAGGTATTTCCTCCAGGATTGCCCTGCTTTTAGGTCTATACATCTTCACATCAGCTTTTTACAGCTTCTTTACTTCTTAAAAAAAAGCCTCCCATGATGCCGCCACACAGGATAGTGGTTTAGGGAAGGTTTTTGCTCTTAGGGTTATCACAAAGCACCTTAATGCCAAGATTAAACTGTGGATAAAACATATGAGGTTTGCTCATTAATTTGATGACTGAGTACATGTGTAGGCACTACACGTGTACTCCTTGGAAGGAAGGCAAAAAAGACCACTGCAGACAAAATGTGAAACACACTATTATTTTTGATAAGTTTAGTTTTTTGACAATCCACAAACAGCAATACACAATTTTATATTGGTCCATAAGAAAACCCTTTTAAAATACTTTGTTATAGTGGCTGTACGCTGACTAGGTATTAGAAAGATTCCAGCTGTGCCAGTACTTTGGTAAAGCATCATACGTCAAGCTAAGTCTGTGCTCTGTGCAGACATGTGTGAAGGTTAAATTATTTACTATATTAATGACATACTGCAACCCTTTAAGTTATGGAATATTTATGCATCTCTTAGTGGGTATAAATATGCATTAGCAACAGTCTGGACATCCATCTATGCATTTAGTAGCTCTCTGGTTGGTTGAATGTAAGGGTCAGATGTTATTAGAGGTGCTGATATGGCCTTAGTTGCAACTAATTGTTTCGGATTTTATTTTAAAAGGAAATTACACAAACTGCCTGTGGTGGATTTGATTTTGGTAATAAAAAAGCAGCCACGTGAAAAATATATAGTCTTCCATCTCGTTTTTATTTTGCTCCAGATGTTAGGCTGAACTAGCAGTGTGCTTTCTACTCATCACTTCCCAGACAGACGGCATTGTCTGTTTCCTTGTTTTTTGTGGCGGCTGCTAATGCAAGCAGTTTTTCTTCTCTTTTTCTTCCTCCCCATACAAATCCCTTTTTTAGCTAAAATGCTGTGTTATTTTGTTTTTAAGAGGTTTTAATGGTCTGTATTTAAAAATATTTGCATTTAGTCTGTTTTAGGACATATATTAAAGAAAATAGACATTGTTACATAAATAGAAATTCTTCCCAGGACACAAAAATATCAAATCAGTCCTCATTAGTACAGTTTGTGATCTTAATAGTCAAAAAGGGTAAAGCGTTAAGGTAAGGTTCCATTGGACTGGCTGTGTCTTTTCCAGCTTGTGACCAAATTGTATTCAGTTTATGAGTTTCACAAGCGATTATAACAGTGGGTGTAATTCATGTAGTAAACACTAGGTGACGCCATCATATAATCATTGTCATAGCGTTGCAGGGGCGCTCAATTCCAGTCCTTTAATAGCTATTATCATGGAACTTTTTGATCTACCCCATTTTTAACACACATAAATCAAATTATTGGCTCGTTACGATGCCTTTGCTGAGCTTAATGAGGGGACTGAGCCTTTGGATTCAAGTGTGTTAGAGATGAGATGCATCTAAATGTTACAGGATGGACTTGAGCAACCCTTTACAGAACAGATGTTTTTTTTTTTTTTTTTTTTAGAAAACCTATATAAGAAGGGTTTAGATGAAAATTATTTTCTGTCTATCATGCATTTATATGACTAACATAATTATAAAATTTGAAGTTAATATTTTATACCCACATCTATTGATCTGTATGCACTCAGCAGCATACAGCAATGTGCACATATCTATCAAGAAGTTAATATTAAAATACTGAGGTGGTATGAATGTTAAAATTATCAAACCTTTAGGGATTGATTAGATTACTGTTGCTTAAACATTGCCCACATTCTGTTTTTATAATTGGCTCATATTTGCCGTTCTTTACCATATGCATTTTGCCATACACAGATAATGAAATAACAACATTTATGTAGAATTGTGCTGCCCTTATTCTTGATCAGAATCTGAAGAAAGAATATGTGTCAGAGAAAGAAGTCATAACAACAGAATGACACATTTACTCAGCTGACTTATATCCAATATTAAATTTAGGGCTGCAGGTATCATTTTTTTTGGTAATTATTTTTCTCATGTTACTTTCTCATTTAATCACATTCTCCCTCTTTATATGACACTTGATCCTCTCTTTGATTGGTTAACCAGACAAATTTATTGGCTTGTCTTTTAATTAATGTTACTAACTGTAAGAGGTTTCCTTCGCTTTCTACTATTGAACGCTTGCTCAGTTTTTCTGCTCAGCTGTTTCTCTACTAGATAAAACCATTAAAAGATGTACTATTGCACCTAACCTTTTACTCTTCTGTCATATAGATAGTAGGACTCCTGCATCAGTGCTTCTTTGTTCCTTTGGTGTGTCTGATGTGTCTTCTCTCACTCCCCCGTCTGTTGAAGTAGAAGGTTTCCTCCTGTTAAAGAGGAGTTTTCCTGTCCATTGTCGCTACATAATCATCCAGTAGAAGGCAATTTTGTGAAGTTGACGACTTCATACAATTTGCAATATTTCCTTTGATAGAAAACATATTTTTAATCAACTTGTAAAATGTCGTTACATGACCTGTGTTTTGAATTTGCAATATATAAATGAATCAATCCATCCTGTTCCGCTTATCCATGGTCGGGTCACAGGGGTAGCAGCTTCACTAGGGAGGCCCAGACCTCCCTCTCCCCTGCCACTTAGGCCAGCTCCTCCAGGGAATCCCAAGGCGTTCCCAGGCCAGCCGAGAAACATAGT